CAGACCAGTTGCCCTCACACAAACCACCACAAGTCTGTGCTGTCATCGTCTTCTGGCGATTGTCATTTCTTTCTACTCTCACTATCTCCGTGTCTATCAGTGAGTCCCTCGTGTGCTCAGGCGGGTATGGACCAGGTCTGTGTGTGCCAGGCACTGGTGTGTGCATGGTAGGACTTCATCCTCAGCATCAGTGGTGAGCGGGTACACTGCTTCCACTCTACAGGTGAGAACTCGGGGCCCGGAGGGGCTCTGGAACCTGTAATAACAGAGCAGAGATCTGAGATGAGGTCCGTCTCCCTGGTCCTACCAGTGCTGCCATCCGAGTGGCTAGATGATACAGGAAAGAGAAACCAGTGGGCCCTGAATGGAGGCCTGGGCGTGCTGAGCTACTGGGCCTGGACTATGTGGCAGCATTTTGGATACTGGGATAGTCTCTGTTTTCTTCAAGTTCTTGGCTAGATTCCAAATACGGAATGGCACCAGCACTGTGATGAGTAAATACATGAGGACTGTGTTGTCATCAGTGGGACACAGTTTTCATGGAGTCAAACCCAGACCACGGTAGAGTTGAATTTGGATCACTGGGTGCGTGATCAATGCGGGAGAATTCCCAACATGACCTGCACACTCTCCAATTTGTCCACTGAAATACTGCATTGCTCAAATATTACAAATGTGTACTTCCTCATATGATTTAAAAGTTTTCTATTCTACAGATGCATTCCTGGAAAGGTATGCAGCAAACTGTTTATTTTTCTATGTGAAATCATACATTCCCGCTGGCATACACTAAAAAAACTGGTCCCCCTCACCTTTAAAAAAAAAAAAATGAAGAAGAGGAATTGACATCTGTTTGAATTCATTTTTCCCATTCATTTTCTTTAGGATTGAGTGGTACACTATTATCTAAACACTCTAAACTTTACTTTTTTTTTCTTGGGTATCTCTTCACATTTCAGCCCTCAACATGAAGATCAAGATAAAAAAATAAAGGAAAAAGAGCCGCATGAATTGGAACCTCAGAAAACAGAAAAGGATCTACATCCAGACCTTATGTGCAAGGTATCTGTGTTCCAGGGCTCTAGCCCAACAGTACAGTACAGCTGTGTCATAGGATCCATTCACTGGGTGACTTTTTAGAGGGTGAGGCATGCAGCTCTCAGACAGAGTCAGAAGATGCAGTGGGTTTTGAAGGCATTTTACCAAAGATAGGAACGTGACAACAACACTGAGCTCCAGCCGGGGATTTTCCACTGAGTAGCCCAATGCAGGCCTTTACAGTAGGGCGGGGCTGGTGTGAGTCCAGCAAGGCACCCAGTGGGCAAGACACAGAGATGCTCAGGTGCCAACCATGCACTTGCACATGCCTGGAGGGAGGATTCTGTGCTCTTTGTCTCTAAGCTCTGTCATCTCATCTGTAAAATGAGAATATAATCACCATCCCCATTCCTACCCTCAGTCACGATGATAAAATGAAATAATGTACATGGAAGTGCTTTGTAAGCCATAAGCTACCATAAAAATGAAATGTATTATTGTTGTCTATTGATTGATTGGTTGGTTGATAGTTTATTAATACTAAATACTTTATATGTGTGTGTATTGATATCCAGTTGACACTACTCCCTCCAAAACAGTGTGATTGGAGGCGTAAACAATAGATTCCACCAGGGCTACTACTAGTGCTTAAAAAATTCTAGATACTTGTATAATATCTACCTGTATAGAAATCGTATAATATCAAATTGTCTCAGGTTCTTCTGCAGGGATTGGATCTATCATCTTGGTGGTGGTGTTAGCCTGAGCTAGTGTGTCGGCCCAGGATAGGACTGGACCAGGTTGGGTGTATAATTCAGAGAATTATGAAAGACAGGGACCAGCCTGGCTGGTATGGTTCAGTGATTGAGCAGTGACCCATGAACCAGGAGGTCATGGTTCAATTCCCAGTCAGGGCACATGCTCAGGTTGTGGGCTCATCCCCCAGTAGGGGGTGTGCAAGAGGCAGCCAATCAATGATTCTCTCTCATTATTGATGTTTCTATATCTCTCTCCCTCTCCCTTCCTCTCTGAAATTAAAAAAATATATATATATATATTTTAAAAAAGAGAAAGACAAGAATCAGAGCCAGGGAAGCAGCACCGTACTTTAAGGCCAGAGGGCAAGGCCGGGGCAGGGCTGTAAATGGGGGATGAGGTCATAGGTCAGGAAATGATTAATTAGGAGCTTGTGAGAAAGACAGTAGAGGAGCCTGGTTAAGATGTATTGACCATTAAAGAGCAAAAGCAGGATGTGCTCTCAGTGCTGGCCATGAGACAGGAGCCAGATATGGGGTTGGACATATTCCTACATTCATTGAGTAGATTTGAGTTTGGGATATTATTAGAAGTTATTTGGAATGTGTTAGACAAATGTGGTGGGTAGTTTAGCTGGGCAGTGCTCTTTGAGGTCAAATACAAACTATAAGTCAGTAGATACATAATCCACTGTGATTCAAACTGACTCTAGGGCACAATCCCAAGGACAGGCCCAATGAGAATCCATGAACTACTTTATATGGGCTACATTGTGGGAAGGCAGCCACCATACCTGTGTGAAACATTGACTTCCCTACTTTCTTATCACTTTTTCCACTTAAAAACTCATTCTTGGCTATGTGACTAAAAAGAATGCCCCTCCTAACACTGTCCTCTTAGTTTTCTTAGATCCCACCAAGAACTCAGAAAATTCCATGCCTTTTATCTGTTGGTTACTTTAGCTTTTTTCAAGTACTTTCAAATATATCATCATAGTCAACCCTCATGTCCACTTGTGGTCAGAAGGACAGTAATCCCCTCTCCTGTGTCATGTGATCATTAGAAAATGCTTAAATGACCAGAAATGTTCGGATTCTCCTCTGTCTCCAGTGTCTCTTCCTGCAATGTATCCAGATCTTTCTGGAATGCAAATCTGAACAGGTTTCTTTCCTGCCTGACTCCCTGTCACTGTGAGATGAAGCCCACACACTGCCTCAGATGCAAAACCCTTCCCAACTCAGCCCCATTCTATCTTGTCTTTCTAGTCTCATTTCCTGTCTTTCTTCCCCTATTCTTTCCCCCCGGCCCTTCAAAGCTTCCCTTATCAGTAGCCTCCATACTATCCTCACAGGACACTAAATACCACATGCTTTTACTCATGCTGATTTATCTGCCAGGTGGATCCTTTAGCCCCTCAATCAATCTCTTATATTTTAAAACACAGTTTAATAAAACCTGCCTTCGAAGTCTTCCCCAACCCTGTCTCTTAAAACCAAGAGATTTTATCTCCTCCTCCTCTCTGTTTCATCTCAGTAAGCAATGCTGTTGTGAAAAGCTTGCCACATTATACCTTAACTAGAGGCCGGGTGCATGAAATTCATGCATGGGGGCGGGGGGGTGGTCCCTCAGCCCAGCCTGCACCCTCTTCATAGTAAGGCCAGAAATGGAACTTCTCACGTGGATGCTGATGCTCCCCAGCATTCTGTTCTTGGTCCTGTTTCTCATTCACTCTCCACCTTGACTGTATCCTCCTCCAGGGCAGCTGCTGTCTACATATTGGTGCTCAGCAGTCCTTTGTGTCATTGGGAACACTGTACCCTGCTCTTGCTACCCTGGGTCACACAGCACCAGTGGGGGGTGATTAAGAGAGTTCTGCCTCTTTGTAGCTTGATTTTTAGGTAGTTGACAAGGCAAAGCAGAGGAATTGGAGACAGATCCATAGGCACTATGTTATAATACAAGATGGAAGGACAGAGTGCTGCAGATAAGGCATGCCTGCTCGAGAGAATCGGGTAGATTCCAGAGGTAATTTGACTTGGACAAACTGAGAAGGGTGCTGTGTGTTTCAGCAATAGAAGATGTGGAAGGCGTGCCTGACAAAGGAAATGAAAGTAAAAAGGGAGAGTTGCTCAAAGTAGCCTGGTAGATTTGAGGGATTGTCAGAGTCTAGACTAGAACAAAAGTGCAGGATGGAGCAGAGGGAGATGGGGTGGAAAGAAAAGTAGGGGCCAGACCACTATGGAACTTATGTTTTATCTTACAGGCAATGGGGAGTTATTAGGCAATTTTGAGCAGGAATTTACTCTGGCATTGATTGGAGCAGACAGAAACTCAGAGAAGCTATCTATGGTTGGCCTGATCCTGGTCCCCCTCACCTTTAAAAAAAAAAAATGAAGAAGAGGAATTGACATCTGTTTGAATTCATTTTTCCCATTCATTTTCTTTAGGATTGAGTGGTACACTATTATCTAAACACTCTAAACTTTACTTTTTTTTTCTTGGGTATCTCTTCACATTTCAGCCCTCAACATGAAGATCAAGATAAAAAAATAAAGGAAAAAGAGCCGCATGAATTGGAACCTCAGAAAACAGAAAAGGATCTACATCCAGACCTTATGTGCAAGGTATCTGTGTTCCAGGGCTCTAGCCCAACAGTACAGTACAGCTGTGTCATAGGATCCATTCACTGGGTGACTTTTTAGAGGGTGAGGCATGCAGCTCTCAGACAGAGTCAGAAGATGCAGTGGGTTTTGAAGGCATTTTACCAAAGATAGGAATGTGACAACAACACTGAGCTCCAGCCGGGGATTTTCCACTGAGTAGCCCAATGCAGGCCTTTACAGTAGGGCGGGGCTGGTGTGAGTCCAGCAAGGCACCCAGTGGGCAAGACACAGAGATGCTCAGGTGCCAACCATGCACTTGCACATGCCTGGAGGGAGGATTCTGTGCTCTTTGTCTCTAAGCTCTGTCATCTCATCTGTAAAATGAGAATATAATCACCATCCCCATTCCTACCCTCAGTCACGATGATAAAATGAAATAATGTACATGGAAGTGCTTTGTAAGCCATAAGCTACCATAAAAATGAAATGTATTATTGTTGTCTATTGATTGATTGGTTGGTTGATAGTTTATTAATACTAAATACTTTATATGTGTGTGTATTGATATCCAGTTGACACTACTCCCTCCAAAACAGTGTGATTGGAGGCTTAAACAATAGATTCCACCAGGGCTACTACTAGTGCTTAAAAAATTCTAGATACTTGTATAATATCTACCTGTATAGAAATCGTATAATATCAAATTGTCTCAGGTTCTTCTGCAGGGATTGGATCTATCATCTTGGTGGTGGTGTTAGCCTGAGCTAGTGTGTCGGCCCAGGATAGGACTGGACCAGGTTGGGTTCCGTGGCTGCTGGCAGCCATCTTGGTTGGGTTAATTTGCATATAGTCACTCTGATTGGCTGGTGGGCATGGCTTAAGGCGTAGCGAAGGTACGGTCAATTTGCGTGTTTATCTTTTATTAGTGTAGATTATTTGTATGTATTGTTTCCATGCATATAAACTACTGTGTAGGTAGCATCTCTTCATTTCCAAAGGGTAGCATGTTGTCTCACCTTCAGTAAGTGTTCAACAAACTCTGGAAAGAGTTAGGTAGGAACAGAAGAATGGTGGGTAAAAAGATGAAATGTCAGCCGAAAGGCACCAAGTATTCCTTAGTGGTCAAGAGCACAGTGGTCTAAGGTCAAGTCCTGCCTCTGTATATTACTAGCTGTGTGACCAGATGCCGCAGTCTTTTGCAGCAAGGGTTCAGGAAACTGGAGAAGGGGCTGCAACATAAATGGATAGAGACTAGACAAGAAATATAAACTTGGAAGGCATGGGGGAAAGCCAGGCGGAAACCAGCTCTCTAGTGGGGTGGCTTCCCAAATGTCCGGACCCACGGCTTTTTATTCACATATTTTGCCCTTTAGCAAAATAAACATACAAATCAAAGGTAAAGTTTGGTAAACAGTAAAAGATTATCAGGTTAGACCACAGTGATCAGCAAACTCATTAGTCAACAGAGCCAAATATCAGCATTACTTCTTCAAAATAGACTCGCCTAGGCCAAAAACCGACTTCTGCGCATGGGCCACAAAGTTTCAATCGCACTGTACGTGCACCCGCACGTGGTATTTTGTGGAAGAGCCACAATCAAGGGGCCAAAGAGCCACATGTGGCTCGCGAGCCGCCGTTTGCCGACCACGGGGTTAGGGGAATTGCCTATAGCTGTTTGGCCAGCAGCAGGCTAATATAATGCTGATATTCAGCCCTGCTGAATATTGAGGACTTTTGAGGACTTTTTGCATTTATTATGACCTGCTAGACTTAGCCTTCAGCAACCAGATATCAGTTATTTAACATTCCAAACTCTTTATCCAGAGCACTAAGGACATTTCCCCAATGAGGTGTCATGAAGATTAAGTGAGATTAAATCTATAAGAACCTGCCTCTGGTCAGTGCTCCATTCTATCCTGCTGGTCTTCTGTGCCCAGCATTCGTTGGGCATTCAGAGGTGAACAAAAGACACAGTATGAGCCCTCATGAAATTCAGAGTCTGGTAAGACAGAATTAAATAAAATAATAAATAAGGGCTGTCTATGAGGAATTAATAAACAGCATGTGTAAGCAGAGAACTAAACAGGTAAGTCAAAGCCCTTCAGTACTCTCCCTGTTGCATGTGTTTAGGTGGGTTCCTATGAAGAGACGTGTGGAAAAGTCCCAGTGATGAAAGTTCAGAGACATATGAAGAGAATGCTGGCCAGAGAGCAGGATGCTGTGATTGACAGCATCCAGACAGAGGCCTGCCCTCAGGACCCAAAGCTGGCCAGGCACTCCCAAGGCCAATGTAAGTTGCATTTCTTCCTGGTTCTCCTCAGCATTATGATATTATTTTAAAGTGGTGTGTTGCCAAGATTTTAATTTATTTTCTAAATATTTATTGAACATCTGTTATATACCAAGTAACTTGCCCTAGTGAGGCAGCTGAGCAGTAGTGGAAAGACCACTGGACTTAGAGGCAGAAGACCTGAGTTCAGTCTAGATGCCAATACTTATTAGCCATGGGGTAAGTAACTTCATATTTCTGCAGCTGGGTTTCTTTACTTATAAAAAGAGATCATAATGTGGGCCTCACCAGGGTTTTTGAAGACTAAATTGAAAAGTATGCCACATAATAGGTACTCAGCAAATATTTGTTCCTTCTTTTTAATCTGCCAGATCCTAATGGGTTTTTTGTAGACCCATGTAATTGACACACTGATGCTATAGTATGATATCATTACTTGACTTTATTTAGGTTGCATTTTACCTTCATGCTAGTTAAGACACTTGATTATAAGTAACAGTAATCAAATCATACTATCTTAAGTCAAAAAAAAAAAAAAAAAAAAAAAAGAGGCTCCAGGGCCACAAGCAATACTACAAGGGCTCAGTATTGCTCCTGGCTCTGCTCCCTCTGGGTCACTCCACTTTTGAACAAATCCTACCCCTGTGGAGGCAAGATGGCATCTAGCAGTAACAGGCTCAGACCCTGCCCTCTTAGGAAGCCCAGAGGAAAACTGGAAATTGTCATATTCTCAACAGTTATAAGAAAAGGCCCAGCTTTGAATCTTACAGGCTCTGTTTGGGCCACATGCCATCCTGAACCAGTTCTTATAAATGGGGGATCTGATGCTCCGGTTGATCCATCTGGGTCATAAACTCACCCCTGGAGCTGGGGGTAGAATCAGATCTAGCAAAACTACCTAACGCCAGGTTGACAGATTTCCCAAGGAAAATAAGAGGGCCATTAATCAGAAAAGAAAAAAAAAGTAGACACTGAATAGACAAAGAAAACAGGTGTCCACTCCAACCCAATAAGCCATAGCAAACCACTGATATTTCAAAAAGTGTGAGAATCAGAGTTGTAAGAAGAATAAATTTGTAGTGATCATGAAATGGACTCAAGGACCCCAGGCTAGCGGGTCTCATCCCTGCCACACACCTTCCCTGCATACCCTCTGCTCTGTGCTCAGCTTATGGCTAGGTGCTCCTGTAACTTTGCTTGATCTCTTTCCTCTGTCTGAAATGCCTTTCTGCTCATTCTCTGCCTGCTGATGTGCTGTGAATCCTTTCAGGTCTGTGTCAAAAGTCACTTCTTCTGAGGCCTCGCTCGCCTCAGTCCATCTCTGCTTTCCCACGCTCCGGGGACCACAATTCCTCTCACCTGTTTCCATGACACTTCACAACTGAATGATTACGTTTCCACGTTAGGCTTTAGAGTTGAACATTTCTGGGATCCAGGACCACTATATTCAAGTCCTGTAACCTTGGAAAATTTACTTACTCGCATGTGCAAATGAGGCAGCTACTACTTATTTCCCAGTGCTGTTTTGTTACTGCATCCAAAGTGGCTGGTTCCTATGCTAAATAACTGTTAGTTCTCTCCATTTATTTTCATTTCTGGAAAACCATAGCATGCTTACATTATAATTCGTTGTGTACCTGTGTCCCCACCATGGCGTACTGTGAGCACATTGAAAATCAGAGACCATTGGGTATTTTTCTCTGTATCTCCGTAACAAGGCCGTCAGCTGCCTAACAAAACTTTGGTGAATAAGGAAAGAAAGAATCAATCAAACTTTAGTTTCTGACAATATAGTAGATGAGACGATCTGACTGTCCTGACAGAAACAAGAATTTTTTTTTTTTTAATTTATGGAAGTATCACAGAACTGATATAAAAAGAAAGCATTTACACTCCTGCAGCAACAGGACTCCTGGGAAGTGAGTGAGTGCCAAAGCTACTTTTGCCCTGAGGGTTGTTACTGAGCTCTGAGTCCCCTGAGCTCCTGTTCTGACTGCACGGCATGCAGAGTACAGGGGCTGCACCCCAGGGCCTGCCCAGGGTGAGTTTATAATAGGAGACTTTGTATAAAGTTGGGACCCCAAAGGATTACATCCACCCTTTAAGAATAAGCAAGACTATGCCTATAGATAACATGACTGTGTTGTGTACTTATAAATGTGTTACAATGGTAGCTCTCATGTGTTCTTACCACAATGAAAGAATTTTTCATTTAAAAAAAGATATGGTGGGGGAGACATATCTGATGAGGTGAATGAGAAAGCACAGAGGTAGCATTAATTTAAAAACCATGCCTTACGGTGTGAAGTGATGGAATTATTTGAGTATAGGGGGAAGTGGAAGAGAGGAAAATAAGTTGAAGTAAATAAGAGAGTTAAACAAGAGCCCTGAATATGAGGCTAAAAGCCCTTTTCATACAATTACATGTGTCCAGGGAGAGTCCCTGTAAGTTCGGGGATTATGCCATGATGAAAACAGCTGAAGAAGATTTTTCTGAGTAATCCAAACATTCCGCTTAGTCCAAAGGGGGCTGCTGAACCCATTAATAAGTTTTTGTAATACTTATGATGAGCAGCACAAAATGCTTAATTAAGGAGAGTAGGTATAAAACAGAAAAGTTTGAAAAAATACAAGTGAGTGTTTTTTAATATTCCTATTCAAGTAAGCCTCTTTTGAAAAAAATGTATTTCTCCTCTGATTGAAAAAAATAAAAGGAATTTCTAAAGTATGTACTTCAGGCAGAAGGAAAATAATCCCACATAGAGAATTCTGGATGCAAGAAAGAAAGCTGAGCAAAAGTATTCACCAAATAAAAAAATATTAGTGCCAATATTGACATTAATAGCCATACTTTGGGAGGGTGATCAAAGTTGAAACCTTCTAAGGTTTTTGATTGAGAGTAACAATATTAATTCACTTTAGCCTTAAAAGAGTTAGAATAGCTAGGATATAGCCATCAAAAGATAACAAAGAATAAAAGGCATACAGAGTAGAAGATACTTGATTTAGAACAAAGGACTAAATCAAAGGACTCATATATAAAATATATATTATATATATATATATACACATATATATA